ATATAAGGGATACTCAAACTCTAGAACGGATGGGAAAAAAGAAATAGTGATAACAAATAATGAGACTTTTATTGACAGGAAAAGAAAGGAGGAAGGAAAATATTGCCTTGTGAAAGAAACCAAGTTCACACTTAGGATGACTACAGGGTTATATCACTGCATCCAATGTCTAACAAGCAGTCTGAAAAATGAGAATAAAGCATAGGTGAGTAGTTAATTACACAGATATAAACTTGGGAACAAGTCTGTAATCTTAAATTAAATTGATTTCCTAAAGAGGAGTTTATACAAAAGATCAGGAAAACAGACTGAAACATGAACATTTTGAGGACAGGACAAGGAACAGTGAGGTAGGAGAGCCAGTCAGTGCAGTAGTACAGAAGTCAAGAAAGAACGAAGTTGCAAAATGCAGCTGGTTCTCAAAAGTTCTAATTGCAGCCATAAAGAACAGGCCTAATAAATGTTTATTTAGGTTGAACAATTAGTGTCATAAACCCTTCAAGACTTCACAGTAGAGGAGTGGGGGAAGTTAAACGCTTATCTTATGTAAAAACAGGCCATAGCAGTTCCCACCCACTCGCTCCTATGCTCCTACTTCCCTGCGTCCCTGCGAGCCATCTTTATTTTTACTCCACACCCACCTGGCCACAGAATTTAGCCTTCTTTTTTTTTTTTTTTTTTTTTTTTTTTTTTTTGTGATGGAGTCTCACTCTGTTGCCCAGGCTGGAGTGCAGTGGCCAGATCTCGGCTCACTGCAAGCTCTGCCTCCCGGGTTTACGTCATTCTCCTGCCTCAGCCTCCCGAGTAGCTGGGACTACAGGCGCCCACTACATCGCCCGGCTAGTTTTTTTGAATTTTTTAGTAGAGACAGGGTTTCACCGTGTTAGCCAGGATGGTCTCGATCTCCTGACCTCGTGATCCGCCCGCCTGGGACTCCCAAAGTGCTGGGATTACAGGCTTGAGCCACCGCGCCCGGCCGAATTTAGCCTTCTTTAAATTCATCTGAAATAATGCACCTATGCAGGAGAATTAACAAACAATGCAGATTTACTGAAGCTTTTTAAGAATATGAAGTGTTGGAATTATAAATCACAGCCTCCATAAAACAACTTAAAGACTCCAGTTAGATACAGAACCTATAGTCTTCCAAAAGCTCCCTTCTCAGCCAAACCACACTGGTGATTCTCTTTATTCTCTATTCTCTCTCTCTTTTGTTCTTTCTTTCCTTTTTTTTTTTTTTTTTTTTTTTTTTTTTTTTTTTGAGACAGGGTCTCACTCTGTCACCCAGGCTGGAGTGCAGTGGTGTGATCTGGGATCACTGCAACCGCCACCTCCCAAGCTCGAAGGATCCTCCCACCTCAGTCTCCTGAGTAGCTGGGACTACGGGCATGCACCACCATACTCAGCTAATTTTTGTTTTGTTTGTTTGTTTGTTTGTTTGTTTTCTAGAGGCAGGGTTTTGCCATGTTACCCAGACTGGTCTTGAACTCCTGGACTCAAGAGATCTGCCTGCCTTGACCTTCCAAAGTGCTGGGATTACAGGCAATGTGAGCCAGTGCGCTCAGCCTGGATTTTCTCTAGAATTTTAAATTCCATCACCTCCAAATGGTGAACAAGAATTAAAGTGCTCTAAAATTCCATTGTCCCGAGTGGTAGATAGTAGTCATATGTGCTACTGAGCACTTGAAATGTGGCTGGACCAAACCAAAATGTGCTGGAAGTGTGAAATACACACTGGATTTCCAAGATTTTGTACAAAAAAAGGATGTTAAGGTATCTCATTAACAACTTTTTATATTGATTGCATGTTGAAATGATAATATTTTGGTTAGACTGAGTTAAATAAATATATTATTAAAATTAATTTCACCTTTTGTTTTGTTTTGTGAGACAGAGACTCAGTCTGTTGCCCAGGTTGTCTCAGCTCACTGCAACCTCTGCCTTGCTGGTTCAAGCCATTCTCCTGCCTCAGCCTCCTGAGCAGCTGGGATTACAGGTATCCGCCACCACACCCTGCTAATTTTTTTTATTTTTAGTAGAGATGAGGTTTCACCATGTTGGCCAGGCTGGTCTTGAACTCCTGACCTCAAGTGATCCACCTGCCTTGGCCTTCCAAAGTGCTGGGATTAGAGGCATAAGCCACCATACCCGGCCTCATTTCACCTTTTTAATGTAGCTAGCAGAAAATTTAAAGTAGCCTCCAAGGCTTATATTATATTCCTATTAGACAGCACTGTTCTGGAAGTAAAAAGGACTTCATGTTAATAAGATTAACCCTCCATGGAAGGCAGTTTAAGAATAATCTTCTAAGAAGCTAATCAAATTGCTTCTTACAAAAAGAAAACAAAACACAGAAACTTTGACCCAAAAGGGATTTAAAAGCCAGGTGTTAAACGAGCAAAATATTTCTCCATCTCATTACGTATGCTACCTCTTTATGAAGAATTTTGCCCCATGCAAATTATCAGTACTAGGAAAGAAGAGGAGTCAGGGCTGGTGTCCAGGTGGCCCAGTTCTGTGAACCTCTATCCATTTAGGAGACAGCAGAGAAAAGCTGATAGCCCTGGAAGTCAAGCAACCTACAGGGGAACTGAATCTATAACCATAGCCTCATTAGCACAGCCTATAGCTCCCATTGCATCCTGTAGTTAATTCCCTTATCATTAACACAAATCACACTGTAATTACTTGTGTAATTAATTATCTCCACCACACAAGGCTGTGAGCTTTGTGAGGGCAGGGATCCATGTGTCTTGTCATCCACATATCTACAATACACAGTAGCATGCAGAATAAGTGCTAAGTATTTGTTAAATGGATATTTAATGAAAATCAAATAAACTAGTTTTTCTGCTCAGTGCATCTGGAACCATATATCTATCAATGAACTTCCTAGTTTGAAAATGCTATATAACCTATTCCTTATGGAAGAGCTAGAAAAGTAACAACTGATGACTATATATAAATGGATGATTCCAATGATAGTAGATGATATTAATAAGAATATTAATAGCTAACTTTTACTAAGTGTTTGTCAAATAATAGGTGTTGTACTAACCATTTAACCATCTTTAAACGTCTTTCACTTACTCATCACCACAATTTACCACGTAGATACTACTGTCATTCCCATTTCACAGATGGGGAGATTGAGACTTAGAGAATTTAAGCAATTTGTACAAAGACACTCTAAGAGTAAGGGGTGGTGCAAGGATTTAAATTTAATCTGACACTAAAACCTGAGGCTTAACTATGCAAGATGATTCTTCACAGACACATGACTAAGTAACACCAATTGACACGAATGACATTGTTGATCACTCCTTCCTCCTTTAAACAGTGTCTTCAGCTGGCTTTTAGAAGACTGTACATTCCTGGACCCATCCTATGTCAATAGCTGCTTCTTCTAAGTCTCTACCGTTGGTTTCTCTTTCTCTCTTCCACAAATCACAGGACTTGATTATCTAGGACATCCTAAAATACATAAAAAACACGTCCCAAAAATTGCCCCTGGGAAATGGAAGGCAGGCGTTTATCCACAGCTGCCCATTCCCCATTGGTGGATCATTGCCTGGGGGTGTTAATTCCACCAAACTTTCCAAGGGCCAGGGGTGTGTGTGTGTGTGTGTGTGTGTGTGTGTGTGTATCATGAGTGATGGCATCTCAACCCTATCTGAGCACTGTTCCTGAACAGGAGACTTGCTGATGTTCACAAAACAATGTCACCGTTCTATCAGGCCAATTGCCTCCAGTTGACACAATATACGGTAGGAGCAGTGGAATCCCATGGTCATGTGTCATTGTCACACTTCTTTTACCATAAAGTGTATCCTTCAATTGGAGGCAATACTTCAGAAAATCATGTGTTTGGGCTGCGTGTGGTGGCTCACGCCTGTAATTGCACCATTTTAGGAGGCTGAGGTGGGCAGATCACTTGAGGTCAGGAGTTCACAACCAGCCTGGCCACCATGGTGAAACTGTGTCTCTACCAAAAATACAAAAAAATTAGCCAGGCGTGGTGGCGGGCGCTTGTAATTCCAGCTACTCGGGAGGCTGAGGCAGGAGAATGCCTGGAACCTGGGAGGCAGAGGTTGCAGTGAACTAAGATTGCACCACTGCACTCCAGCCTGGGCAACAGAGTGAGCCTCTGTGTCAAGGAAGGAAGGAAGGAAGGAAGGGACGGAGGGAGAGAAGGAGGGAACGAGGGAGGAAGGGAAGGAGGGAGGGGAAGAGAGAGAGAGAGAAAGAAAGAGAGAGAGAAAAGAGAAAAGAAAAGAAAGAGGGAGCGAGAGAGGGAGGGAGGGAGGAAGAAAGAAAGAAAGTCAGTCAATCATGTGTTTGTAACTCTATTAGATAATGGCATTGGCAGAAGCACCGTGAACAAGACCAGTCATATCAAGAGAAGTGTCAGTTCCGTAAGTACAAACCACGACTCTCTCCAGGAAGGAAGGACTTTTGTGTAATCAGTCGAGCAACTGTCTGCTCTCCTTATGGAATTTACCATCAATCTTTGCTGCTGATGGGCTAGACATCCAAAGAGGCAGTAGTCATATCAGCTTTAGTAACAAAGAGCCTTAATTGTTAGGTCATGCACATGTCCTCCCCTTAATATCATTAAGAAAGTCCTTGTTGTCTTCTGACTGCAAAGAAACCCACTTCCAGAGTTCTGAGGAGCTGCATTCTAGACTTTCTTCTTACATCAAATTTCTTAGCTTGGTTTCCCTCAAAACCTGCGACAACTACTTATGTGGGGACAGGTAATTTGGGATGTGATCCTAGTGAGAAACAATGAGAGAACAGAAGGGAGAATATAGACACAATACAAGAATGCGTTATTGAAGTTGCTGTTGTGAGAAACCGGAATTCAATTTCACTAGGACTTTTTGAAAAACACACAGAATGGCCTACAAAACTATCTTGCTCAAGCGTAAGAAGCAGGAGAATTTATCCATCAGCGACTGTCACCCCTTGGTTGAAGGGCCCCAGATGTGTTGACTTACCAGCACTTCAAAACTGTGCAGGGCAGGAGCTGAGAGAGCTACTGCTGGAATCTGTGAAGTCCGAAGAACCTCAGGGAAGAAAGCAAAGAGGCCTGGTAAATGTGGGAGAGGAGAAGCTGTCAGGGAGAAGAATGTGGAAGACTGCATGAAACTGCCCCCCCACAACCAAGTCAGAAATGAGAGGTGATGCTCAGAAGATGTGAGTCACGACACCAAAGGTTTCTGACACGACAGGATTATTAATTTCTTAAAAATTTAAAACCAATTCCTAGGGCCAGGCACGGTGGCTCACACCTATAATCCCAGCACTTTGGGAGGCCAAGCGGGTGGATGACTTGAGGTCAGGAGTTTGAGACCAGCCTGGCCAATATGGTGAAACCCCATCTCTACTAAAAATACAAAAATGAGCTGGGCATGGTGACAGGCGCCTATAATCCCAGCTACTTGGGAGGCTGAGACCGGAGAATCACTTGAACCCAGAAGGCAGAGGTTGCAGCGAGCTGAGATGCTCCACTGCACTCCAGCCTGAGCAACAGAGTGAGCCTCTGCCTCAATCAATCAATCAATCAATCAGTAAAAAACCAATTCATAGCTGCAAGCCTTTTTTTTTTTTACCACATGGTTATCAGAGGAGTAAATGAGAAGTATCATAAGAGAGTCGATATTTATTAAACACCTACTCTGTAATAAGTACTACTCCAGATAGTCTCTCGTACATTTCACATTTGACATGTAAAAGTATTTCACTGACATGGTAGTCAGAGAAGAGCCAGGTGACATTTGAGCAGTGACTGGAAAACAATGAGGACACAAGCTCTGTGGACATCTGAGAGGGCAGTGTTCCATGCAGAAGGAACAACAGCTACAAAGCACTGACGCTTGCTGTGCTTGGAGACAATTAGAAAAGCTCCGCAGTGTAGCTTGAATGTGACCCCTCAAGAACAAGTTCAGTCTTAAAAGTCAGAATAAGAATTTTGAACTTTAATGCGCTGGTAAGCCACTAAAAGGTTCTGCACAGAGGAGTGGCATATTCAAGTTCTAACGGGATCACTCTAGCTGCTGAAGGCAACTATGTAGAGAAATAAAGGGAATGTAGAAAGCTATGCTCACAGCTACAGCAGTGGTCCAGGCATGAGCAGATGGTACCTTGTACCACCTCTTGGACCTTAAGTTGTTTTATACTGCCATTTACTTTCTCATGGAAACCCCTAATTTCTTCAGGACAGGAAGCTCATACGCATAGTTTATGAATATGACCTATACATATGCCCATTTAATAGAGGCTTGATAAATAACCATCATATAAATGGCTAACAGTAGTACTAAATCCACATTATACAGTGACGATATGGCATCACCGAAAGATTTTGTCATTTACTATCTCTTGAGGAAATTTAAGTTCTCTAAGCCTCAATTTCAACATTCCTAAATGTTGCTACCACCAGCCTAACAAGGTTGGCAAGTATTAAATGAAAATGTCTACCCAGACCTTTTTTTCTCACCACCAAAGTAGGTGCCTTGTTTTATTACAAACTCTCAATCCCAATACAAGACACAAACGTTACCCTTTCTGAAGAGTGCCTATAAAATTTTAAAAGTTGTACATAACTGACTGGATTCTAACATATATATTAATCCAATTTATCCCTTTCTGGTATCCAAGGCATGCTTTCAAAAATTGTCCATCTTCGTTACAGTAATATTTTCCTTAAGTGTTCTCTGAAAACGGCTCATCCCCAAACCGTCTTGGATTTTACATTATTACATCTCAGTAGTGACAGATGTGGCCCTAAATGCGGGGAAAACGTTTACAGAAATTTTGATGGCTGGTCCTCAAGCTTTGAGATTTACCTTCCAAGAATTAAGCAGCACTATCAAAACAATGCTGGCAACATTTTTATGAGGTTGCAAGGACCACAGTTGCTGCAGCTACAGGATGAGTAAGAACGTCAGAAGCAACACAAGCTTTACTTCGGCCCATCTTCACCGGAGAAGCCCCTATGAATCCGGCAAAAACATAAAAACAGGTACTGTGACTTTGCCGTATCTCATTTACATCAAGTAGCAAGAATAAGGAAGTCAAGGATTTTGAAATCTGGCTCCAACATTCTCCACTTGGTCGCGTTCTCAAATCTCAGCCCAGGGCCGCTGACGTAAAGTCGCCACTCGTGGGCACCACGGGCTCGGGGGTAGCCGGCAGCTGAAATCCGGGGGACTTCAGAGGCTTGGAGGCCAGGAGCAGGCAGAGCGCCGATGGGATAACGAGATTCTCCAGCAGATCGGCGCTCACCGCCCTACTCCATTTCAGCGGGTAGAGGTAAGGGCTGAAAGGTGACCCTCGCACCGCCGGGCCACCTTGGCAGTGCCTGCCTTGCGTCTCTACCCGATAGAGCCTGCGCGGGAGGTAACGGCGCGTACGCCGGCGGCGGCCACAGGCCCGTCGGGAGGCGGGGCCACGCGTCTGCGCACGCGCGCAGGGACACATAGGCGGAAGTGTCCCGCGGGCGCCGGAGTTGAGAGTGGTTTCCGGGGAGGCGACCGCCGAGGTGGAAAGTGCAGGAGTGGTAGAGGAGGAGGAGGAAGAGGAGGTGATGGCGACGGACCTGGGGAGGGGGAGATGCTCCGTCTGGCTGAGGCGCTACCCAGGCTGCGGTCACCCTTCCGGGTGACATACCGGCCTTGGGGTACGCGTGCCTTCGGGGCCTTTCCTGTGTTTGGGACCCAGATCTCCTCTCCTCCAGAAAACCTTGACACTGTCCATCTTCCTCATTCAGCCAAGGAGCATTAGAGGAGTGGATGAGGTCGGGATGGAAGGAACGGGTGACTCCCTTTTTTTAAAGAGCGGAAACCAGCCGGGCGGTTTCCAGGGAGGAGCATCTGTACCTCCTCGCCCGTTTCTCGCCCTCGGGCTGGCGAGACCTCCCTCAGATCCCAATCCGTGGACTCGCAGGGGTGAGGTGACCTCAAGGGGTCTTTTACGCTGTTCTCGGGGGTCTCTGGAGAACTGTCAGTCACCTGGATACCTCTAGACTGTCTTTGCAGTTAACTATTTCCTGGTTCCGTGTTTATTAAGTAGGGGCACTCCAAGATACCCTTATCTTCATTTGGCTTTCTGTAGAATGTGATTGTTCTGGCTGGGCTATTAAATTTATGGCATAAACTTCCACTAGAAGTTCTGCAGGTTTCCTCCAGTCTTTGCAACTGAATTTCCTCTCCCGTCTTTTTATTATTTGTTAAGGAATATTGAAAGTAAAAGATGGAATGATTTGGTGTGCTAACAAAATCTTAAGTGTTGAGTATCTGCATTTTTCTACATTAGGATATCAGAAGGCTAGAACTGTTTTTTAATTAAGCGTTTTTCTAAGCAAATTGAGATCGTTTGGAACTTGGAAGAGAGCCAGCATTTCAAAATAATTTAGACAGCGTTATTTTTACGTAATTACTTAATATATAGATTAAGTCCTAATGTTATCTTTTTCTCTTGGGAAGAGAAAAAAAAGAATAGTCTTCAAAAATTAGCACAGGGTTTCTCCACCTTTGTACAAAGAAATGAGATGGAACTTTGTTTTTTTCTGTTTTATAATCGTACACCATAGGCCATGATTGATTCCGGAGCGCAGTTAATCAAGGCATAATGGCATGGTAAGATTCTTTTATTTGTAACGTTGAGCGTGGCAAAATATAGTTAAAATGACGTTTTTTCAGGTTAATGACACCGTAATGACATTTTTTTTCCATATTCTACCTTGTTTGGTGTGGGACTTTTGTCCTTCAGATTGGAAAACTCAAAAACTGAAATAATTGTGACTTCAATAGGTCATTGTAACTCAACATTATCACTAATTTTAATTTTTAAATCACATTGTATGCCGGAAAGGGTACCTTTTTATTCCATTTTAGCAGTTGAAGTTGATTATCTGTTGAATTTAGGAAGAGGTCTCAGGCAATGATACACACCTGTGATTTTTTAATATATGTATATATATTTTTTAGTTTCAAGGATTACTGTGAGCTTCAAAAGCAGAGCACAATCTTGATCATTTAGTCTGAAAACTAATTTTAATTCCATGCTTCATTTTTGGCCCCTGCACCACAAGGAGTTTGGCCAATTTTTTTTTAAGATGATGGTTAATATCATTAATGTTTGAAGTGGAAGGGATATGGCAAACATTCCCCAATGATCCCAGTTATTAGATATCAGCGGTCTTCATCAGTCACACTTTCTCACTAGTGATGTTATTAATAAAACAGCATTCTAAATGCAAGGCTTTGGTGGGCAAGTTTTATGAGACTGATGCCTCAAGCAGAGGAAAAGCAAATTTATTTTCATGTTCATTTCAAATGTTTTGTGGGGAGTTTCAGTAGCGATGTCGGTATTTTGGCACACATGTAGAAAAGACAGTGCTAGAGAGATTTCATTCTGCACATGTGGCCTAGATCTGCAGCACATAAAGTTGCCAAGAAGTGTGTTAGAAGTGGTAAAGTGTTGGAAAGGAGCTGAATAATGTTGATTAAATAAATGTTGCTTGCTGACTGGGCGCGGTGGCTCACTCCTGTAATCCCAGCACTTTAGGAGGCTGAGGCGGGCGGATCACGAGGTCAGGAGTTCAAGACCATCCTGGCTAACACGGTGAAACCCCGTCTCTACTTAAAATACAAAAAATTAGCCGGGCGTGGTGGCGGGTGCCTGTAGTCCCAGCTGCTCGGGAGGCTGAGGCAGGAGAATGGCATGAACCCGGGAGGAGGAAGTTGCAGCGAGTCGAGATTGCGCCACTGTACTCCAGCCTAGGCGATGAGGGAGACTCCGTCCCAAAATAAATTAAATAAATAAATAAATGGTGCTTGCTAAAGAGCGGTAGAGTCCTTCACTTAATCTTACATTTTTGTTATGTGCTAGAACATCATATGAAGATACCTCTTGCCTTAAGGATTTCATAGACTTTTAGGAGAAACAAGTATAAAAACAAAAAAGCTATACCATTATAATTTAGGAATTTGAAAAATAAGTATAATATGATATTAGGGTCCAGGACATCAACTTGTTTTTAACTTCGAGGCCTTATTCATGGATGCAGCACGATCAGACTTCACGTTGAGCCATGCGACAGATGGGTCAGAAAGGGAAAAATTGATTATGAACTGTCTAGTAATCTAGGCAAGAGAAAATGGCTGCCTGATGGAGTAGGGTCCAAAACAGATTTTAGATATAGTTATAGATGTAGAGTTAACAGGAATCTTGGCAAAGTATGGAACGTGAGGAAAAGCAAAGATTGTTAAGATAACTCCCAGATTTTTAGCTTGTGTTTCATACTAGGTACTGTTAAGTGAGATTGGGAATATAGGAACCAACAGTAGATTTGTTTTGAGAGGAAAATAATCAGCTTTGGCCATTTTAAATATGAGGTGCCAGCAGAGCTTATGAGTGGAGGTTTCAAAGAAGCATTTAGACATAGAACTCTGGATCTCAGGAGAGAAGGCAGCCTTGGAAATTCAGGTCTGTATTTCCAGCTGCACATCAAAGGGGTGAGTCATCTTGAGCACACCGTATCACCCTAGCAATATTTCTAAAAAGTTGAAGGATGACAGCTAACACACTTTTGTACTGTCATATGACAGGCAATGTTACATTCATTTCATACAGTCCTAACCAAAATCCTGTGATAGGCACATTTTTAACTCCTCCCACTTTTGAAGGTACAGAACCTAAAGCTCAGAAAAGTTAAACGATTTGCCCAAGGCTTCTCAGCTAATAAGTAGCAAAGCCAGAACTTGAACTCATATCTGTCAAAATTCCAAAGCATGGGGAAAGCATTGTGTTATACTGCTTTCTTATACTATTATCTATAATTGTATTGAGTCATTACAATATGCTTGGCAGTTTTCTAAATTACAAACATCTCAGAAGAAGGTGACTTTGGGAGAGCGTGACCTTCTGGAGAAATGTTTTGATGCCAATAAAAGCAGGAAAGATATTTTCTAGTTTTATTTATTCTGTATGTATATGTAAATATATAAGCATTGTTTGTAAATTTCCCCACTCTTTTTCTATAATATTTTCAGTTTTACTGATAAAGTTTGCCAGTACCACCATCCATTTCAAAAATCATACCCAAGCAGAAGGTGAGTGACTACAAGCTGAAGTTTGAGGGTATCAATAGGAAGGATCAGTTTATTTGGTTCATCTGAATATCACGTCAGAGTATATGCCAGGTATCAAGGACACAGAGATAAATAAGATTTGAATCTTGCCTTTCAAGTTCTGTTTTCTAATAACTGGGGGGATTAGTGATGGTGTCACAAAGGAGAGGATATTAAAGCTGAACTTCCAAACCTGACCTTAAGAAGACCTCAGACTGAAAGGACGTCATGAGCAGAAGGCAGGGGTGTTTGAAAGTCCCTGGTGTATTTCAGGAATGAAACATGGGTGGTTTACGACTTTATTGAGAGTGGTGGGAGAGCAAACTTAGAAACCTATGTGAGGCCGGGTTTATTTGAATGGTACTCTATATCCATGCCCACACAGAGAAAAGAGTAAATTGTTAAGGTTTTCATCTCTTCGTTTTGAATGTAGATTCGAGCACAGATTTGACCACATATTTAGGAGAGGTAATTTAAAGCATGGTTTTAAAAGAAAGTCACATCTTAAAGATGTCCTGCGAGATTACATAAAAAGTCTTACAAATGACACTGATTGAAACATAATGTGGGTAGCAAGAACAAAGGAAAGCGAAGAATAAACAAGAGGAACGCAGTAAACTTCATGAAATTACTTTTCTATTTAGGAATATGGCAGATGCCCTATAAAATGTTGTGGTGACTGCGTGTTTTTAGTTACAAGTGGTATTCAGATCCTTGACCCCTCCTTTAATTCCTAAGGATGACCTGGTTAACCTCTGTAAATTAGCAAACTAGAAGTGATCATGAAGAGGCAACTCTAATTTTGGCCATTTTAAACCATCTTGGTAACAGTTTAAAAAAAAAAATTACCAAAGGAAAACACTGTCAAAATTATTCTTATTTCTCTTTATGCTGCAGAGTTTAAATTTTTGTTCCCACTGGAATTAAAAATAGATGAGTCGTTTCTAAGAAAATAACTTATTTTACATAGGTTTGTTCTGTACTTTGTCATAATTCTTCAGTCTTTCCTCAGTCTTTACATGGAGTTCATATTTTCAGTTTTTATAAATCCAAAGAGAAATTGGTGGCTTCATAACTTTTTTTAGACTGACAAAAAATGACATATTTTCTCCAGCCTTTTACATCCCAGAAGAATGTAAATTAAATTAAAATGGTTTGCTCCAGAGGAAGAAAATATTTTTTAACCTAAGAGATGCTACTGCTGAAGCATATTGTGCTTTCTGTAGTTTGTGATAAATCTAGCTTTTTAAGGACCTTAGTTTTGGGGTTTTTTTTTTTTTTTCATTTGTTTTCTAGAGACAGGGTCTGGCTCTGTCGCCCAGGCTGGAGTGCAGTGGTGTCATCATAGATTACTGCAGCCTCAAACTCCTGGACTCAAGTGATCCTCCTGCCTCAGCCTCCTGAGTACCTAGGACTACAGGTGTGCACCACCATACCCAGCTAATTTTTTGATTTTATTTTATTGTGTAGAGAGAGGGTCTTGCTATGTTGCCCAGGCTGGTCTTGAACTCCTGGTCTCAAGCAATCTCTCTGCTTCAGCCTCCCAAAATGTTGGGATTACAGGCATGAGCCACCACACCCAGCCTTTGTTTTCTTAGTTTATTTTTTAAATGTCATTGGCAAACATATCTTAGAATTGTCTTAGTATTTAAAGGAGAATTACTTAGTTTTTACTCTTCTACAAATAAAGATCGACTTTAATGTTGAAGATGTTATGCATCAACTATATATATAGACGCAAAGGCGTGTTCTTTGATGAAATACTAGCTTTTGTTACCGTGGAAATAAGTATGGTTTATATTCAGTTTAGTGATGTACTAATCTTTATCAGCGGTAGACAAATTGTTTAAAGATTGTAGGCATATTGTTTTTGGTGGTTTGGAACCTAGAATACAGGAATTAATATACTAATATCCAGAGAGAAGCAGACATTTGTATAATTTTTAAGTATGATTTGGAATATTATTTGGAGGATTAAACTTTATCATCTAAATGTTTTCTTTTACTTGCTTATTTCTTTCTCTAGGACTTGACACAGCAAGCAAGAGACATACAGAACAAAAGAGTTGAGGAAACCAACAAAGATAACTCTGAAAGCATTGAATGCAGCAAAATAACAATGGATCTCAAGTTCAACAATTCCAGGAAATATATTTCTATCACTGTGCCATCCAAAACCCAAACAATGTCACCACACATCAAGTCAATTGACGACATCGTGGTGCTTGGCATGAATCTCAGCAAGTTTAACAAACTTACTCAGTTTTTCATATGTGTTGCTGGAGTTTTTGTATTTTACCTAATTTATGGGTATTTACAGGTAAAAAAGTTATATGTTTGTAATATGTTAATTATTTATAATAATTGCAGTCAGTATGGGCACTTACTAGTTTTGCCCGAGATAGTCACTTACAGGATACTGGCTGATTCATAAATTTGAATTTTTTAGTATAGTAGTAGAAAAGAGCTTCTTAAAACAGAAAACAGATCAAAATTCAAGAGTTAAATATTTTAAGTGGGGAGAAGACACATGTAGAGACTACCTTGAAAAATTGTAATTATGAAAATTAATTTTTAAATATTTAACAAAATGTAGGTAATAATTGCAACCATGTGTTTCCAGGAGAAATAAATGATTCAAGTACTGATTGATATCTTGGAACATTATTGAATGATAGTGTAGTTTACTCGATTCTTGGAGCTCGATAATAAAAGATCATTCTTGCAAAAATATATCAGGATATTTTATGGTTTTCTAAAGGTATCTCTTTAATCCTATAATATTTGAATTATTTCTTTTTTAAACACCTCTTATATTCTCATTCTTACTTGCTTTGTCTTCTAACTTTGCCAGAATCTTATTGTTCTGTGATTTTTTGCTGGCATAAAACATTTCTAACACTGCAACAATTTGTCTCATATTTACATTATATTTGGAGAAGTTGTATACCTTTGGCCAGGAGCAAATTTCTGACCTTCAAAGACATGGGCTGGATGGGTGAGGATCCGGGCTAGTGAAAACAGGATGTTGGAATGGGTTCTAATTTTATTAATGGTCATTTAATTCGTGGATATTTTCCTATAACAAGAGAAAGCCTTTGTAATTCAAGGAAAGGAAAATGATGTATTTTCTTAAAACACAGATAATATTTCCAGTATTCTTTAATACTAAAAAGTTAGTGAATTTAAAAATTGTATTCTTTTTCATTGTCTTGTAGAGATGAAATATCAAGGGAAATGTAAGTGAACACGGAATTGTGACTTTTTTAGTTAGCTAGCTTGCAAGAATGCAATGAAGAATGTTAATGTAAAACAAAAACGAATTACAAATTTAAATAGTTATAATAACTGATATTCCACTAGTAGGTGATATAAAACTTGAGATGCCACAATGAAGAACAATTAAAAATAGAGATTAGAATTTCTTGTTGAGAAACATTTCAGAAACCTTTTTTTCTTCAGTATACCAGTGTTACCAAAATAGCTTGGGAACAGAGTTAGCCATTGCAATGGAAAATGAATTTGAAATTTGCCCTGTAAGTCTCATTAAATACATTTTCTCTAAATAATCAGGTATTTTAGTTTATAATTGGTTTATGCAAAGTTTTTTTAAGTTACACAAACCCCTGCTAATTATGTTTATAACTTAACCACTTTCATTTTGTGAAAACTGACATTGCTACTGTTACATATAATTACATATCAAAATAGTTCAGAGAAAATGGGGTTTGGTAATGAAGTATTTTTTAATAGATGTATGCATATTCATACATACACTTCATTTATTCAATTTGATTTATTGATCAATTTGATTTATTCAATTTAAAAAACCAGATAACTATTGGAATACCTCTTAGTGACTTGTTAAGAATGGCTTATTAATAATTGATAATAAATATTACTTTATAATATGTTTAGGCAAATTAACCATTTCCTCTAAAAGAAGGTTTATATCATCTATGGCACAAGAATTTCAAAAAATAACATTGTCAATATGAAAGAGCTTCTGACCTCTCTAATTTACATTTTGTTGTTGTTGGAGGTGGGGCTTGGTTTCTTTAAAAATGTTGTGTTTGTAAGAATTTATTTTTAGGAAATTAATGTGCTGCCTTGGACTTAACAGTGTTCATGTGTCTTTTGACAGGAATTAATATTTTCAGTGGAGGGTTTTAAGTCCTATGGCTGGTACCTTACCTTAGTGCAGTTTGCCTTTTACTCCATATTTGGCCTAATAGAACTTCAGCTTATTCAGGACAAAAGGAGGAGGTATGTGGTTTGTTTTTATTTTTTGATATTTCACTCGTATTAGTTGAATTTTTTTGGCATACTGAATATGCATGAAATTTATACTTCTATTAACAAAATACCTAATAAGCATGATCTCTTGTCAGTATAACCAACTTAATAATACTAAATACATTTTACTCATTTATACACTGGAAAAAATGAAGTCTCTCCTTAAATGCAGTATTACAAAATAAAAAAATAATAGTTTTAAGCTCAACTTACGGTGTTACATCTTCTTAAAACATGATAAAAAACATGATGTACATACTTGGTTTTTATAAATTCTGCTGAAATAGGTGCAGTTACTGATTTATAGTGCAACTAACATCACAGTGGTGAAATGAAATATCAGTACAGGTTGAGCATCCCTAATCCAAAAATCTGAAATCTAGAAATGCTCCAAAATTAGAAAAGTTTGAGTGCCAATGTGACACAAGTGGAAACTTCCAAACATAAATACTTAACACAGATGTTGTTTTGTGCACAAAATTATATTAAATGTGCACCGTGACCAGCTCTGGGACAGTTGGGATGCAGGGCACCAAGTTCTTAAGCTGCACACAGCGTAATGACCCTGAGCCCAGCCCACAAAACCATTTTTTCCTCCTAGACTTCCTGGCCTGTGATGGGAGTGGCTGCCATGAAGACCTATGACATGCTCTAGAGACATCTTCCCCATTGTCTTGGGGATTAACATTCAGATCCTTGTTACTTATGCAAATTTCTGCAGCCAGCCTGAATTTCTCCTCAAACAATGGGTTCTTCTTTTCTACTGCTTCGTCAGGCTGCAAATTTTCTGAACATTTTTGCCCTGTTTCCCTTTTAAAATGGAATGCTTTCAACAGCACCCAAGTTACCTTTTGAATGCTTTGCTGCTTAGAAATTTCTTCCACCAGATACCCTAAATCATCTCAAAGTTCCAAAGATCTCTAGGGCAGGGGCAAAATGCCACCAGTCTCTTTGCTAAAACATAACGAGTCACCTTTGCTCTAGTTCCCAACAAGTTCCTCATCTCCATCTGAGACCACCTCAGCCTAGACCTTATTGTTCATATCACTGTCAACTTTTTTGCCAAAGCCATTGAACAAGTCTCTAGGTGGTTCCAAACTGTCCTACATTTTCCTGTCTTCTTCTGAGTCCTCCAAACTCTTCCAGCCTCTGCCTCATACCCAGTTCCAAAGTTGCTTCCACATTTTTGGGTTTCATTTCAGCAACCTCACTCCCGGTACCACTGTACTGTTATTAGTCCGTTTTCACGCTGCTGATAAAGATATACCCGAGACTGGGAAGAAAAAGAGGTTTAATTGGACTTACAGTTCCACATGGCTGAGGAGGCCTCAGAATCATGGCAGGAGTCAAAAGGCACTTCTTACATGGTGGTTGCAAGAGAAAATGAGGAAGATGCAAAAGTGGAAACCCCTGATAAAACCATCAGATTTTGTGAGACTTAATCACTACCATGAGAATAGTATGGGGGAATCCCCCCCACGATTCAAATTATCTCCCACTGGGTCCCTCCCACAACACATGGAAATTACAGGAGTACAATTCAAGATGAGATTTGAGTGGGGACACAGCCAAACCATATCAAAAATGTTCTGTAAAATTACCTTCAGGTTATGTGTATAATGTATATATGAAACATAAATAAATCTCATAGTAAGACCTGTGTCCCATTCCCCAAGATACCTTACTATGCAGATGCAAATATTCCAAAATCTGAAAAAAATTGATATTTGAAACACTTCTAGTCCGTTCCCAGCAATTTGGATGAGGGATACCAAGTCTGCATCTGTTGTTATAATGCTTTTTTAGAATGTGAAGTTTTTGTGGGATATGCCCCAGCTGACATTGCCATAAGATGTCCGATAACTGAGGTTGCATTCTTAAGTATTAGAGAAACATATATCATTCCTTTTCATCAAGACCAAATGTGCTTGTTTGACAATATCATTTCAGTTAGCAACCATCTAGATTTGAGAAGTATCTTGATATATTTTTAATGACATATAGAACAATATGCAATAAAACTTAGTCTCTGATTACAAACAGAAAGTGGTTAAGAATTTGAATATAAAATTTTCTTGGTTAATGTAAGAAGTGTGCTTATTCTGTCATACCCTAATGTGTGTATATATCATGTATCTATTGGGCAGTTTAAATATAATAACGACTGGAATACTGACATACCTTTATACAAATGTTTACTCCTTTAGTGAAGATTTCAAAAATTGTGCAGCTTTTTTTTTTTTAAATCATAAAATCGTTTTGAAGTTTGTGTCAAGGTAATACAGTTTTACATATTTAAATCTATATTATAGGTTTCTTCATGGGTCTAATTTTGCCTCTCAACTTGTCTTTATTGCCAGTAAATTACTGTAGGAATTATTGTAAAAATATTTGAACCTGAGAGTTTCATCTTCGTTATTTTTTTGTTTTATCATGATTCTCCATGATAGAATCATGGAGGCAAGCCAGTGAAATCCAACTTCCTCATTTTACCAATGAGAAAACAAAGACCTAGAGGAGTACTGGGAATAGCCATAGGTGATAGAATAGGAAGTAATTAAATATATCTGTCAAGACTAATACATAAGGAAGCTTGATGATGATTCACTACTTATTGCAAACTACTGGGCCTTCTAAGGTAAGATTGCTTCTAAGGTAAAAGACACGAATACTGTCTTTGTACGTGAAAAATGATACAATGACAATGCATGTCCTGTTACATTTCAGAGAGAAACACCTCCCTATAAGCTACCCAGATGAGAGGGGAGGGGGCCTCAAGCCGTGTTTATCCCAACTTTTAAATCACATGACCATAACATATTTTAAAAAAAATAATAATTTGTAAGTGAAACAATTTGGGAGAAGACTTTATTTATAATAAATGTAATGAATTTATTTCTGAATTTATTTCTGCATATACACCCATATCTGAATTTATTTAATGGTACTGCTACTCAGACCTTTAATTAGCTGAACTCTTTGCTGTTGTTATTTTTTTTCTTCTTCCTAATTTATATGAATACCGACATACTGGAATAAGTACCTCAATACTCATTGAGAATTTGGAGTTAGACACATGGGTTTGGGTCTTGGCACTTGGGTCTTATTACATCTGTCAAGACCTCAGAGAAGTTTCTGTAATACTCTAAATTTTATTTTGAGGATCATATGTGGTAATGCATGCTAAAGTACATCATAAACTGTAATATCCTAAATGTACTGCTAATTATTTTTCATCAAAGAATACCTTGTAACATTATTATTAATTACTATGAGTTTTTAATTAAGGAGAGCTCTCAGATTTGTCTTGAAGAGATTTTCAAAGTTAAAATTTACTCCCCGGCCAGGCGCGCTGGCTCACGCCTATAATCCTAACACTTTGGGAGGCCGAAGCAGGTTGATCACCTGAGGTTGGGAGTTCAAGACCAGCCTGGCCAACATGGTGAAACCCCGTCTCTACTAAAAATATAAAATTAGCCAGGAGGCTGAGGCAGGAGAATGGTTAGAACCTAGGAGGTGGAGGTTGCATTGAGCCAAGATGGCACCACTGCACTCCAGCCTGGGCAACAAGAGCGAGACTTGGTCTCAAAAAAATGTTTCTCCCCATATCTAAGGAAGCAAGCAATCGACATATTAAATAAAATAGAAATAGTGAGTATTCTGGAGGCAAGCTGATCAAATCTAATTTCTTCATTTTGCCAATGAGAAAACAAAGACCTAGAGGACTGCTGAGAATTTTTTTGAGCTCCTTTTGGAGCTACTTTTGGATTTGGTTCCCCTGAGTTTCAGGCTGGTTTTCTTTCTACCTGTACCGTGCTACTTTTCTACTCATTCCTTGTAATTTTTCTGACTTGAATTTTTATTCTCTGCCAATGATTTGCCATTTATCTTTGAGGAAATCTGACCACCATGACTTTTATCATTTTACCTGGAGAAGTGGTGCTCCACCATCACTGATGATATGCCAGTGAGGGTCAAACCCCATGGATGGCATGAACACATTTACACTGATGCATATGGGCATGCCAAGTTGTTCCCACGTGGATTTTCGTGGTTAACTACTCTATTAGTACTTAAGTAGGAAAAAAAAAACCCTCAGAATCAAAATGTAAATGATGCATTTTAATTGACTTTTTCCAGTAAATTATTTTACCTTATATCTAACCATATAAAAGATGAGGAATTTTGTTGCCTTAATTTCAATGTCAACACAAATTCTAAAATGGAAATTACATCTAACTCTCCAGCATTGTCAGTATGAATAGTGCCTCATTGTGTTTGTGTTCATCATACCAGCGTACAAGATTATTAGTTTAGACCATTAAATATCTAGTCAAAGTGAGCATATGCTCACAGTAATGGCTCAAAATTCTGAAGATGCTGAATTAAGAATCTCCTTTAGGAACTTTAGATAGAGCCAAAGTTAAAAGACTTGAAATCATGAGGAGAGAGTCAGATACCTCCTCTTAAAAGTTGATTATTACAACATGGAATACAGAGAGATGATCTATAAGATATTATAATAAAAAATTGTATCTAGGGTTTTAAACCACATGAACTTTTCCTAGAGAAATTCTTCTTGGGTTACTTTAACAGAATGGATGGATGTATTTTTCCTAATGCTAGATGGAAACATTAGGAAACAGAACAACAATGCAAGAGTTAAAAATTCGTTTTAAAATAGTTAAGGTACCTTTTACCATTATGGAGGCCAACATTAGCTGGGCATGGTGGTGCACACCTGTAGTCCTAGCTACTCAAGAAGCTAAGGCAAAAGAATTTCTTGAACCCATGAGGCAGAGGTTGCAGTTAGCTGAGATCGTGCCACCGCACTCCAGCCTGGGCAACAGAGCGAGACCTTATCTCAAGCAAACAACAAAAAAGAAGCTCTTTTTTTCTAACTTTGGTTAAGATGGTTTTTATTTGTGGCTAGAACTGCTGTTTTTTAAAAAAAAAAAAACCCTTTTGTCAACATTTATACCTTCGGTAAAAATCTAAACTCTTTTTTACATAATTGAGTGGCCTCATTTATGATTGATTAAAGGTAAATTGTTATTTTTATAAACTTTTTTTACTAATATTTCCAGAAATAGTAACCAGAAATTACAAAAGTAATTAGACATTTACACATTGTGAACACATTATCTTTTAGTAGTATGAATTGGGTCCCAAAATGAAGGTTTTAAAAATTGTCTTTTACAGAATACCAGGAAAAACCTACATGATAATAGCTTTTCTAACTGTGGGTACTATGGGGTTATCAAACACTTCCTTGGGCTACCTGAATTACCCTACCCAAGTCATCTTCAAGTGCTGCAAATTGATTCCTGTTATGCTAGGAGGAGTTTTTATTCAAGGTATAGTAATTACATGTTTTTTATACTCTTTAAAACTAATAGGCTATGTTATGGCATCTAGCATTAGGAAAAACATTAAACTTTATTCTATTTTCAATGAGCATTCTAGGTATTGTAACAATTCTGAATGATATCTTACCAAAATAAGGTATTCTAAAAACACTGATGGCCGGGCACAGTGACTCACGCCTGTAATCCCAACACTGTGGGATGCCAGGGTAGGCGGATCACAAGGTCAGGAGTTCAAGAGCAGCCTGGCCAATATGGTGAAACCCTGTCTCTACTAAAAATACAAAAATTAGCCAGGTGTGGTGGTGTACGACTGTAGTCCCAGCTACTCCGGAGGTTGAGGCAGAAGAATTGCTTGAACCCAGAAGGCAGAAGTTGCAGTGAGCCGAGGTCGCAACACTGCACTGCAGCCTGGGTGACACAGCGAGACTCCGTCTCAAAAAAAAAAACCGAAAAACAAAAAAAAACGCTGATATGCCTTAGTGTCTGAAGTCAGTAATTAGGACTTAAGAAAAAGAAAAGATAATACTTCGTTTTATTATTTTATTTTGGAATCTACCACATTTCCAGCAATACTATATTTACGTATTAAAGGTCTAGCTCAGAAGTACCTGGAAAAGTCCCTTTTTTCAGGTCCTTCATTCTTCTACTCTCCAGGGCTGCACACTTCACCTCCATTGTACATGGGCAGTTCTCATATTGAAGTAGAGTTTAATCTGAGCAGAACTGCGTTTTTACCAACCCTCCTGGCTTAGTGATTTTTAGAGCCCCAGCTAAGTGACGAGTTTTGTGGAAATAGGAGTAAAAGAGGAGGTAGTGATAGCAACAAACAGTGAAAGTAGCTTCTCTTGTTCTTATTAATTGTCATCAGGAATATTTGTGTTTTAATAGTCGGGTGTTTGTGTATCACTGAAGTTCTTATACAGCCTGATTTCATTTATGCATTAGATACCATCCCAGAATAAGCCTTTAAAAATGAAAGTGTTTTCAACTACTTCACGTATCACTTCAGGATAACTTCATGTAGGAAAAAATAATTAACCTCAATCCCTATTAAAAATCACATTTATTGTCCCAACTGACTAGGCATATATAATATTGTCCTTATAAACCTTACAAAAAAGTCATACTATATTTTTTTTTAATAAGGTGATATTAAAATAATTTTCACCTGCCTGGAAGTTAATCTCATTATGATATTTGCAAACTTAGTTATGTAACCAGATTCATTACTCTGGTTACTTTGTAAACTTAGAAACTACAAGAAAATTCGTAACCTTTTATTATGCATAAAGTAAAATAGACACTAAATTTCCAGGAAATTTTTTAAATGTTTGTGGATGTGCATTATTCTTGCTGTCAGTTTTTGCCAGAGTATGTATTTTAGTATCACTATTATACCAGATAAAGTAGCTCTTGTTTCTAACGTATAGGGACATATTGCTTCCCATTGGTAGTTTTCAGAAGCCCTCTTGTGACTGTCTGCTGCCTTGACCTAAGTGTTCACGTTTTTGGCATTGGATATAAAAAAACGGATCCGTGTTCTACTTAACACCTAGAGCAAACACAAAGCTGGGTGGGTATTTGCATAATGAAGCCGACTTATATTTGTTTTATACAGGAAAGCGTTACAATGTTGCAGATGTGTCTGCTGCCATATGTATGAGCCTTGGCCTGATATGGTTTACCCTCGCTGACAGCACAATTGCACCAAATTTCAACCTGACAGGTAAGCAATTTATATTCCTAGCTTTTATAGGCATTTTAGTTTAGAATACGAATTTTGAATATTTTGTAAGCATTTTAAATGATAGTATGACAGCTGCAATTTTCATATCTAACATAAAGCTTTTGGACTTTCCATATAAGGTGCAGTGAAAGTACCACAGCTCTGTAGATAAAACAATTTGTTTGTTTGTTTTTTAGTGTGCTTGCATTTTGACAGGAGAGGACGCTATTTGCCCAGTCAAAATCTTTGATAAGCTGAATTGGAAATAGACATATGAGTTATAGGGGAATAACAGTAGTAATTGTTTTCAGCTATCATTTGAAAAAAAACTTTGAAACTTGCACATTTGCATGTAACTGTTTTAGCTAAAGAAGGAAAGGTATGCTGTGCTGTTATATTAAACAGTTTAATATAAATATAGACATTACCTTAAAGTGCTTGAAGTTTCTACTGTAAGTAAGTTTTCTCTATAGTGTGCTGTGTGAAATTTTGTAAATTAAATTTAGGTTTTTCAAAAGCAGACTAGTTATTGCAGTATTTTTAGAAATGAGAATTAAGTATTGGAATTCTATTTTTATTTTTATTTGGAAAAGAAATTGGGAGTACTTTGGTGTTTATATATGCAATATTGTCAGTTTTACTAATAAGACTAACTTAGTGACATTCCATCTTCTAATCTGACAAAAATAGAATTTAAAATATCTGGGACTCTATAGAAACTGAGAGAACAGCAATAATCATAATAACATCAGCAAGTACAAAGTATGTTTGAGAAAAAGTCCAAACTATTACATAATGAAAAAAATTATTCACATCAGCTTCACTATTCTTCCTAAGAATCAGAACCTCTTACCTGTTGTCAATCTTACTAACCTGGTTAACCAAACTGAATGAATGTATTTAACTGTAACCAGTTCTGCATCTTGTAGCAACCCTTTAGCAACCCCAAGGTTCTGGTAGAAACTACCAGAACTCACTCACTGCCTGATCTTAGAGAAAGTGTATAGTTGCAGATGTTTCTAACATGGTCTAGATCAGCAGTCCCTAACCTTCTTGGCACCAGGGACTGGTTCCATGGAAGACAGTTTTTCAACAGCGAATGGTGGGAGAGGATGGTTTCAGATGAAACTACTCTCCCACCGCAGATCATTAGGCATTAGATTTTCATAAGGAGTGCAACCTCGATCCCTCACATGTGCAGTTCACAGTAGTCTTCCCACTCCTATGAGAATCTACTGTCGCAGCTGACCTGACAGGAGGCAGAGCTCAGGTGGTAATGCTCGCTCACTGGCTGCTCATCCCCGACTGTGCAGCCAGGTTCCTAATAGGCCAAGGACTGGGGCTTGGGGACCCATGGTCTAGATCTTTCAGGATTGCTTCAAGGAAGATTATACTTGAAAACTGAGAGAAGTGACTCTTGTACTTATGAAAAGGCAATATTAGAGAAGGCACCAAATTAGCAGTGAGAGACGTGGCTTCAAATTCTATTTGAATTACTTAAAAATATAGCCGCAGGTAAATTGCTACACCCCTTTGTGCTTCACCCATAAAACAGAGAATAATAACTCCCCATATGGAAAGATAGTGGGAGGACAGACTGAGATGAAGGATTAATGAATGGGAAATTACATACACAGGATGGCAGAGGGCGTGGTGATGGTGACAGCGATGGAAAGAGCTGAATCCAGTGGTTCTGTACTTTCTCACTGTAACTTAAGTGCTAACCCTGTCTGAGTTCCATGGACATATTTTTGTAGAGAATTAGAACCCAACCATACTTCATCACTAAGAATAATCCATGAGCACTTAAATCCCTATTCTGATATATTATATTATCTAAAGGAGAGGAGGTTAACTGTTAAAATGGTTATTTAAGATAGGTATAAATAAAACTTTGAATGTATAAAGTATGTATGTGTGTATGTATATATATATCAGAAGTTAGATGATACAAAGTTGAATAAGTATAAAAACTTAAATCTTAATTGACTGAGGTGCATACACACGTGGCCATACACTTTTCTGCTACCTATGGTTGCTTATGCATTAACAAAAGGAAAGAAATAATTTCTCTAAACCCCATCAGACTCATAGATACAACTAAGACTGCTCTTGCCTCCTTCTGTAAAGCACAGTGACCGATGACCCTGCGTCCTAGACACTGTCAGTTACTAGCCTGCTTCCCAAGTACACATGCGCACTTGATGCTTCTCAGGAATGAATAGTATTGACTCTCAGATTTGTTTATGTCAGTTGTACCTTTATTATAATTATGTCATAACTCAGTATTAAGTTTTTCAAAAATGAGTATGAACAAAGAATTGTTTTTGTGAAAACTGAGTTAACTGACACAACTTGATTGACAAGCAATAAAATCACTATTGAATGAGGTGTGGGTAAAACCACTGTGAATATTGGAGGGAAGCTCATAAACATATGAAAGGATTCTGTACTCTGCAGGGCACTTTTAAACAAAAACACCTTGGAAATCACGGAAAATGTGTGCTATTAGCATGTTTATACAAAGGAGAAAATACGGAATTCTATTCAGGACCCATGCTCAAAGAAAAAGGCCCTGACAGCTGCGTGCATGTTTATGTGATTTAAATTAAACATTTTAGCAATAATAGGGTTTTTCAAAAATCGCTTTTCTCTTCATCTTTTTTGTTTTGTTTTGTTTTTTTAATTAACTGACTAGCCACCAATCCCAATAGACAGATATCCTAAGAGTTTCTTCTACACTTTCAGAACTAGTGGAACTATTAGACTAGTGGAATATTTGTGGAACTGTTATTTGATACGCTATTGAAATGTGATAATGGTGACAGAACTCACTCAGTTTATTAGTGTATCTTTTTTAATATCATCACCTTTGTACTTATTACACCTGATTGTGAATAAGAATATTCTGGATTACCAAACAAACGTGGTTGAAGATCTGCTTTTGTTTTTTAGACCAATGAAATTTCTGATAAAGCTTGATTATAGTTCATATGTTTAAATAAGGAGGTTTTTTTGTTTTTTTAATACCTTCTTGAAGGTGTGGTGCTTATTTCCCTGGCCTTATGTGCAGATGCTGTCATTGGAAATGTTCAAGAGAAAGCTATGAAACTTCATAATGCTTCCAATTCTGAAATGGTAAATACTCTAGTGTTTTTTCTTCAAATTAGACAGACTTAAACAATGGTGATGTACGTAATGTGATGAAATAATTATAATATCATTATAACTGGCATTGCATTTTTAAGCGGTCATTTTTATAAAAGTAATACATTCAAACATTATAGGAAAGTAAAAACTAAAACTACAACTAGCAGTGCTAACCACTTGTTGCATAGTTAACAAATTTTTTCCTCATTGATTTAGTTTTTATGTATTAAAATAAAATCTTTTGTTAGGTCATTTCTCTTATCTCTTTCTAGTGGGTAGTATTTTTCCATGTAGAAGTTTGTAATTTTTATATTGCCCAGTTTGTCTTTTCCTTGCTGGCTTCTGGCTAAGTATCATGGTTGAAAAGAGCTTTCCCAACCCTGAGATTTAGAACATTTCATCCCTGTTGCCTACTAGTTTTGTGTTTTCCTTTTTTATTAAGCCCTTGATCCAATCTAAAACTTTTTAAAAAGAACTTTTCTTTCAAATGACTACCCATTTTTTCCAATATCATTTATTGAATAATCCACTTTCAGCTCATTTTAAATGCCCTCTTTATCGTATCACACTCTAGTGTGGCATTCAGAATTGTATTTGAATTTATTTTTGCAATAGTACATATAATGACAGCAGCTTTATCATACATTTATTATCTGTTAGGACTAGCTACCATTGTTCCTTTTCTTTTGCAGAATATTACTACCAGTAGTTATTCTGGGGTGTTTATATTCCCAAATAAACTAAAAATTCCATTGGTATTGTGATTGGTATGGCATTGAATTATAAATTAATTTAGGGAGAATGGCATCTTGATTATTTCAGTCCAAGAATAAGGTATGACTTTTCTTTTACTCAAGTGGTCTTTTTTTAATGTCCATTAGAGTTTAAAGTCTTCTTCATGTAAATCCAGCACATTTCTTATTAAAGGTATTGTTAATAATAACTTATTAAAGTTATTTCATCTTTTTGCAGTTATTGCAAATAATATCTTTCTGTATGTCTTGTAACTGGTGTTTTTTGCAAATAATGTCTTTTTGTATATCTTGTAACTGGTTTTTATATAGGAAAATTGTGTGTGTGTCTGTATGTGTGTGTGTGTGTGTGTGTGTTTACATTAATTTTATAACCACCCACCTTGCTGGACAGAAAGAGCATACTGAATTAAGGATAGACAGGACTATTCTTTCCTGTTATTTTCTTGACACAGAATGGGGCAACTTAAGTACTTTCTAATAACACAGGAACTTGGTTAAGAATTTTCTTCATCATCATCACTACTCGTTGTAGATAAGGTCAGGATGGGCGCAGAGAGAATTGAGGGACTGTAGGTTGTTAGAAAGTTAATATAATGCAGTGGTTATGATGGTAGGCTCTGGAATAAGATAGCTTAGTTCATATCCTGGCTTTACTAGCACTCATTTGGGGAAAATTACTTAATATCTCTAAGTTATAGTTTCTTCATCTGGAAATTGGATTATGATGACTAAGAAATACCCATCTCTAGGATGGTTGTGAGAAGTAAGTGGAATAATCTGTACCGAGCTTCAGCACAGTACCTGACACAGCAGATATTTAGGTTTGCTGCTGCTGCTACTGCTGCTGCTGATTCTGTTTATGAAAAGCATAGTAAATTGGGATTAAAAGGTTGGTTGGAAAATAGAGAAGTTAAGCAGTAGATATGCCATATACTGCTTATTTTCATCATATTTTAATGTCTTTTAGAACTTAATGTTTGGATTTTTTTAGGTTTTATAAGTAGCTTTAAAGCTTTTTGTTTTCTTTAAGTTTTTTTTAAGAACTCTAATATGAAAATCTGGTTTGATTTCAGTGATTGTCTAGAAAAAAATGAATATGTAAGCATATATGAAAGGATTAATATTACTAGGTGTTATTTTGTACATAAAATTGAGGCATAGACTTATAAAACATTAGAATCAAATATCATTTCTGGAAATTTAGGCCATATTGAAATGATAATGTTTCTTTTAAAATGTTTGTTCTGCAGACCTAATTGAGCCATAGAGTTAAAACCTTTAGTCTTCTACTTTCTGTTTGATAGTACTTTTTTCTTCTTTATTTTTATCTGCTCTAGGTATTGTATTCGTATTCAATTGGTTTTGTATACATTTTACTGGGATTGACATGCACTAGTGGATTAGGCCCTGCAGTAACATTCTGTGCAAAGGTAAACAGTAATCACAATTTAAAAACAAATAAATATCTTCTCTTAAATAATTTTTTCTATATTTCTAATTTTCCTTGTTCACAAGAGGCTATCATAGATATAATGATACCTCCTTTAATATAACATATGCCAATCAGAAATTAATTTCAGAAATGAAATTATTCGTATTTAAATTTATTTTATCCTTGCTGTACCCTATGAGTTGATTTTTAAGCTGTTCATAATGTAGAAAAGTTGAGGATCTTTAATTTCAACATTATTTTTTCATTAAATCAAAATAAGAATTTTTGCTTGACTGCATTATCAAACAGCTTATTATTGCTCAAGAAGTTGATTAAAATCTGTAGTTTTATTGTATTTGTAATACCTCGGGGTTTGTTTCACATTTTTCTAACAGGCTTTTTTATTTTTTGCAGAATCCAATTCGGACCTATGGTTATGCATTCCTTTTTTCCCTCACTGGATATTTTGGAATCTCCTTTGTTCTGGCTTTGATTAAAATTTTTGGTGCACTTATTGCTGTAACAGGTAGGAGGGATTTACTTGCTTTGGTTATAAAATAAGCATTCACATTTTCTCTGATGCTCTTTTTCAAAACATAAGGGCAACATCTGCTTTACATTAAAAAGAAAATTATCCTATTTCACCAATTTATTCTTTGGCTTATGGCGTTTCTTTATAATGCTAAAGAAAATGATTTTTGGTCTTAATTTCTTATTTTGATGATTTAATTTTAAAATCAATCGTATACATTTATCAGAATAGTAACCCTTAAACGCATTAAAAGAACTTTCTATAAAATTATGATGAGATGAAGACCTCCAAAGAAAGTACTACCTTTATATTCTTCTAACCTATAACTGAAAATTTCAATTTGGTTGCATTTCAGTATGAGAGGTACACTTTAAATAAGCTTTTTAGGCCTTTCATGTATACATTTTCTAGGACACCAACCAGATTAGCTTCCCTTTTCACCAGTAAGCATATGCCCCTGCTCTGTGCAGGGTCTTTGCTTGGCCCTATAGAAAAACCAGTTGTATTTGTTCTGCTTTGGAGGACTGTACAGCCTAGTGAGAGGAACAGATGAGTCAGTGTGTCACCTGTGTCATTTGCCAAAACTCTAAGGTACAGCCTTTGCCTTAGAGGTGCAGGCAGTTTCTTTCTCACGTAAAGGAAAGCCAGAGTTGGCAATAATCATAGCTAATGCGTATATAGCCCTAGTATGTACCAGACACCATTATTTTAATCTCACAACAGTCCTATAAATTAGGCACTATGATTGTTCCATTTTACAGATGGATAAACTGAGGCACAAGGAGGTTAAGTGACTTGTCTCATAGTCAGCCAGAGCCAGGTTCCAGTGATGGCAGTCTGGCTGCACACCTGTGCTCTTCGCCATACATTATACTGCCTCTAAGCTAGTATGGTGACTCCCTAGTCATGAGAAACCCACATTCTTTCTGTCCGCTGTGCCATCTTCATCCTCATGCTATGCAGTAGGATGGAGTAAGAGAAGATGAAAATCCTAAAAGTCATACTCCGAGAAACAGCACATCTGCTCACATTTCACCACAGCCTGGACACATGACCAAACCTAGTAGCAGGAGAAGCGGAACATATACCCAGCTTAAAATACGGGTCCTTTTACTATAGAAATGAAAATAGACATTGGGAATCTGACTCTGGCATGTTTCCAGAACAGCTTCTTCTTTGGAATTCATTCATTCATGCATAAATTACTAAGTGCCAGGAACTGTAGAGTCTTGGAATATACAGATGAATAAGGCAAGAAACTAAGTAAAGCACGTAGTCTAGTGGGAAGACGGCAACTGATGTGCAGTGAGGAGGAAAGGGCTGTCATGGAGATCTATGCAGATCTCCCCGCTCTGCCTGGGACCAGGGAGGAAGGCTTCCAGCCTTACGGCAGACTTCAAAGTGTAGTACTTCAAAGGACAGGAGAAAGTTAATACAGATGTGTAAAGAAGATTGTAATGATTACTCATAGTCTTATCCAGAGATGACCCCTATTAAGATATGAGTATATCCTTTAGATTACTGTGTTTAAAGAATAACCCCTGCCTCTAGCTAATCATAGCTTCCATAGGAAAGCCCTTCTCTAAGACTTACTGTGGCTACATAATACCATGGCCTCCATCAAGTACTTATTACAGTTATACTTTAACATTTAACTGTATTAATTATTTAATGTCTGTTTCCCTACAAGACTAAACTCCATAGTAACAGGGAACAGTGAGTTTTGTGCATTTGGTTGGTTGGTTGGTTTTTACTTTCCATTGTTACTTTGGCAGTCAGCTCTGTAAATATTTGCTGAATAAATGATTTCTAAAATATTGTCAAGATAATAGGCACATTCTAAACTAATTTGTTGCTCCTACAGTGACAACAGGAAGAAAAGCAATGACCATTGTACTTTCGTTTATATTCTTCGCTAAACCATTCACATTTCAGTAAGTACTTTTTACTCAGTTTTTAGGTACTGTGTTTCACATTTCCTCTTAATCTTAATTTCAACTTTTCTACTTTTTCTTTTTTGTAGTAAGTGTATTTATTTTTATATAAATTAATGTGGGTTTTTTTTTCCTGTTATGCTTTATAAAGAAACTTTGTCATCTTGGTCTCTTAACTATCAGTGTATCTTCTGCTATTTTGGAAATGTCGGTAGTTTATTATTTTGAATTTATCATTTTTATGCTTAAATTGCCTAACCAGAGTCCAGTGCAAATGTGACCTGTTTCCATTATGAGTGAATGTGAGTGATGTGTACGTTGTTGAGATTAAGAGATTCCCCTTTGCCCTACTGCAAATATATAAATTACGTATTTATAGCACATGCTTTTAAAAAGTATTAGTTTATTTGATGCCTGTTTCCACAAAGGATTTAAGGCAGAGAAGTATTCTATAAGTTACATCCCAAAGACTTACTTAGCTTGTATTTTTTTTGTGTGCGAAAGTGTTTACTATCATATTTACTGTCTTTACTGTTTGTTTGACATTAGCATCATTTAAACTTACATTGGTCAGGATTGTGAAGTTTCAAACCAAAATCTTAACAATCTGTAAGTTTAGAGGGAAACATAAAATTAATTTCCATCAATGTTATTTGTCTATAAACTAGTTTTTCTTTCTGTATGTACTAGGTATAATACATAATAGTATTATGTCATACATAAATATAATTATAATGATTCCCTACTTTCTCAGGGATGTTTCTCTTTTTATTCCTTTATATTCTACCCAACTGAGACAACGAGTTAGACAGCTGAGTTTAATTCCCAAAACGGCCTTTGGTAGATATACATATCCAATGCTTTAAGTGTACTCTTCAGACTTTTGGTAGGGGGTTGTACTTTGAATATACTATTATCCCCAAAGCTCAAATTAACTATGTCATATAAATTTTTATAAAATATCTTTATATATACTCAATGTATTAATATGTATTAATAAAAGATACAGGATTCTATCTAATCTCATCTAAGAATACTATTTTTATTTTAATGCTATTATTGTAGAATAGCAGAATTTTACTTCACTGAAGAATTATTATGGACAAATTACCAAATTCTGTGGTTAACAGTAGATTGTTATTTTGCTAATTTTAATATTTTTTTTCCTTATTTCTTTCTCTTAGGTATGTATGGTCTGGTTTCTTAGTTGTCCTTGGTATATTTCTCAATGTTTACAGCAAAAATATGGATAAAGTAAGACTACCATCACTGTATGATTTGATAAACAAATCAGTGGAAGCAAGAAAGTCAAGGACGCTGGCACAAACTGTATAGACAGTGATTTGTCCTATTTAAAATAGAATTTTAAGGGAACAATCAATTAACTTTCCAAAGGGACTGATAAAAACCAAAGGATCTGGAGGCATTGCTATCCCCTTTGTGGATAGATTTCATATGAAGTTATTTGCGGTGTCAGGCTTTTCTTCAGAGCACTTGTTTGACTGACTTCCAAAGCGACCAAGACAGCCGCATCTAGCACGCTTTACAATAAAATGTCAATATGAAGGACTGTAATTCCTAGCATTTTATTAAGAATTTCACTGGAAATGGACCACGTGTTGCAAGACTAACTGGCTATAATTATGACATATCAAAGAAATCGATATGTAATAGCAGATTGTTTTATATTCATTCCATTTTGATGGTGTTATTTAAATTGATTCTCTGTTATAAGAGTAAACTGATGAGTTGAAGTCTGGAGAGAATAACATTCATTATAAATAAAATTATTCTGTGATCTTTTTTCAAGATGTGTTAATAGAATTTTGTTATAAAGAGAGAAATGAAAGTTGGAGTAAGGCTTAACATGCACTTTAAAACTTGAGTTTTCTCTCATTTAAAATTATTCTTTAGAGCAGGAGCTCCCAACCCCCAGGCCGTGGACTGGTACTGGTCCGTGGCCTGTTAGGAAGCAGACAAGTTAGCATTACCATCTGAGCTCCACCTCCTGTCAGACCAGCGGCAGCATTAGATTCTTATAGTAGCACAAACCCTGTTAGGAACTGCATATGCGAGGGGTTTGGGTTGTACGCTCCTTATGAGAATCTAATGCCTGATCATCTGAAGTGGAACAGTTTCATAGTTTTATCCTGAAACCATCCCCTGCCCCAGTCCATGGGAAAATTGTCTTCCACAAAACTGGTCCCTGCTGCCAGAAGGGTTGGGGACCACTGTTTTACAGAAGACATGCTTTAAGTTTTATGTAGAATATAGGCAAGGTAGTAAAAACAGACATCATTCTGCATCATGGAAGTATGTATCATAAGAAAAATGTGCTACAGTTTCCCCAAGTAATACCAAAGGATTCATGATTGGATTTTTTTTAATTGAAGAAAAAGTAATTGATGTCTCAAAATTATAATAAAATAATTATAAAATTATCCTAGTTTTTTCCATAAAAGTGAGATTTAATTTGGAAGTTTGAGGACAAAATAGAATAAATTTAAGAAACAAGTAGAGTTAGCAAATTGGGACAATATTTTCTCCCTTAGCACATTCAGGCTGCTATGTAAAATACCGTGAATGGGTAGCTTGTAAACAATGGAAATTTATTTCCCACAGTTCTGATGTCTGGAAGTCCAAGTTGGAGGTGCTGGCAGATTTAGTGGGGGCCTGCTTTCTGGTTCATAGAAGGAGGCTTCTTCTTATGTCCTTATGTGATGAAGGGCCAAACCAGCTCCCTTGGGTGCTAATCCCATTTTCAAGGACTCTGCCCTCATGACCTGATCACCTCCCAAAAGGCCCCACTACTTAATACAATCACTTTGGGAGTTAGGATTTCAACGTATGAATTTCAGGGGGACACAAATATTCAGACCATATCAATGTTGCATGTATAGTTTCGAGTTTAAATTCAAAGATTTGGGCACTTATTTTTAGCAGTGATTTTTAGAATTGCTTCTATTGTATTTTTTTTTTAATTCTGTTATTCTTCATTTTCAATATAAATAATATTGGTTTAAAAAGCTTAGTGCTCTTGGGGACACTGTTTATATTTTGTGAGTATAATATACTTGGAATAGTTACTCTCATTCTTAAAATTCTGTTGGATTCTGATGGCTGCTTTAAACTATTATGTGCATATGCAGGTACAACAGAGCCTGTATCATGGAGGGGTCCAGCATGAGGAATTCTGACTGGTTTTCATTTGCCCATTTGCTAAGATACAGTTGTTGTTTTTTCCCTAGTGGTAATCATTTTAAATTTTTCCTGTCTTAAGATAGAAGGGATCTTAATGCATATTTCATTATGCTGCCTTAAACTTTTAAGAAAAAAGGGTTTGTGCTTGAAAAAAAACCTTATCAACTTTCTCAGATCTTTGATAAAATATAAATTTGACTTATCAAAGCATTATTTTGCCTCTACACTTCCCTAATATTTTACCTCTCTCTCCCTATTATCAACATCATTCCACCCTTCAATTTTAAACAATTTAGCACTGTTTGAAAATCACTACTTGCCAGTCTTACCCTTTAAACTCCATTTCTTTTATCATTTGCCATTAGATGGAAGTAAACTTCACCTCACTAATTTGTAATGAATAGTCTGAAATATGGAATGATTTCTGTAGTAAAGGAAATCAACATTTGAAAGTATACTGAGAGTGGAGGCCTTGTGAATGGGATTAGTGCCTTTATAAAAGAGACCGCAGGGAGCTCTCTTGCCCTCTTCACACCATGTGATGATACAAGAAGTCAGCAGTCTGCAACCCAGAAGAGAGCCCTCACCTGAACATAACCATGATGGCACCCTGGTCTTGGACTTCGGTCTCCAGAACTGAGAAATAAGTTTCTGTTGTCTTAGACCCCCAGCCCATGGTGCTTTCTGGTATCAACCTGAGCAGCCCAAATTAAGACAACACATAAGAAAGCGTTTCTAAGTAAAGAATATGTGAGATCATTTGATTGAGACATTACAATATAGGTAGATGTGTTTGTTTTAAGCAGTATGTAGATAGAAACTATTTCTTCAGCTGTGTTTACATTAGGTGCCTGTCAGTAGGTACTCAGTAAATATCTGTCATGCAAGACTAATCAAAGGACAAGCACCAGTAGATCAAAAATATTCTGGAGAAATGATGTTCTAAATTCTGCCATATCGTGTTTTATTTTATGGCATAATATTCAGTGCAACAACAACAACAACAACAATAGTAGAAACTGGCCAGCTTCTGCGATCACTATGTTAAGACTGACCTAGAGGTAAGCCAGCCAAGCCAGAATTCTCAGTACAACCATGTTGCATAACAAGGAGGTTGGCTGACCATTGTCCCTAGTTCTTGGGAGGCAGCCTCTAAGTCCTTGGCATTTTCCAATTGATAGGAGTGTGGTTATTCATGGTTGGTCCCTAGATAGTTTCAGGGTTGGGGCTGGCCATGCTGAAAAGACTAAGGATGTGACTGTGGGGTTGGGGCTTTGAGCCATGTCATATCTGCCCAACATTCAGGGATGGAAGGGAAGCTGAAGATTAAGTTTAGTCACATGGACAATGATTTAATCGGTCAGTCCTATGGGCTATATAGTGAAACTCCAGTAGAAACTGTACACTGAGGTTGAAAGAGCTTCCCTGGTTCATGATACACGTGGGTGTTCAGGAGGGTGATGTGTCTCCTCAGGACACAAAAGCTTAGTGTTTGCAAGCCTCCCAGACCTTGCCCTATGGATCTCTTCTTTTGGCTGGTCCTGATTTGTATTCTTTATAATGAAATTGAAATTGAAAGTACAATGCTTTCATGAGTTTTGTAAGGCATTCTCATGAATTGTTGAACCTCTAAGGATAACGAGAACCCTTGAATTTGCAGTCCATTTGTCAGAAGTGTGAATGGCCTGGGAACGCCAAAGCTTGCAACTGTTCTCTGAAGTGAGGGCAGTCTCGTGGAGAGTGTCCTTCACCTGTGATGTGATGGTTAATACTGAGTGTCAACTTGATTGGATTGAAGGATGCAAAGTATTGATGCTGGGTGTGTCTGTGAGGGTGTTGCCAAAGGAGATTAACATTTAAGTCAGTGGGCTGGGGAAGGCACACCTACCTTTAATCTGGTGGGCACCATCTAATCAGCTGCCAGCAAATATAAAGCAGGCAGAGAAATGTGCAAGACTGGCCTAGCCTCCCAGGAAAAGGTGAGACTGGCCTAGCCTCCCAGCTTACATCTTTCTCCCATGCTGGATGCTTCCCGCTCTTGAACATCAGACTCCAGGTTCTTCAGTTTTGAGACTTGGACTTGCTCCTCAAGCTTGCAGAGAGCCTATTGTGGGACCTTGTGTTTGTGTAAGTTAATACTTAACAAGATCCCTATTTTTATATATATATATAAATATATATATATTTATATATATATGAAATATTATATTCTGTTCTATTAGTTCTGTCCCTCTAGAGAACCATGACTAATACAGATTTTGGTACCAGGAATGGTTCTAGAGGAACAGAATATTAAGGATGGAGTTCTTTCGTTGGTTTTAGGGTTTCTGGAGTTGGCTGCTTAATATGATTAAACCGAAAAATGCTAAGGACTCTACTTCCAATAGTGTGGAGAACACTGATAGTCCTTTTGGCCTGAACTGTTTAAAGAGTTATGCAAAATAAATGCATTTGACACTCCTGATTCACCACTCATGAGAGGCAAGGAGTTTAGTGACTGTACATAATACCTTTGTCCACATGTGGAGAACCAAGGAACATAATGAAGCTGGTTGGTTCCTCCTAAGTTCAGTGGACAATGTGATGAAAGAAAATGATGAACTCAGGGACTCTGTCTTCTGGCTTCAGAAGCAGATACTGAGCCTCAAATCTGCTAAGATTGCACTGAGTCAGAGTCTTATCTCCTGTAGAGATAGAGCTGAAATTGTGGAAAAATGAACACAAGCTTTTTTCATGTCACTGGCTGACCTGCAGTGAAAGGTGCATGCACAGCCTTGCCAGGTGTCTACTGTTAAAGTGAGACATTTGTTGGAAAGGAATGGGATCCTGCAACTTGGAATGGGGATGTGTAGGAGGACCCTGATGAAGCTGGGAACACTGAGTTTGTAAACACTGAGGAACCTTTTTTGCTACAAGGAACAGCTTCCCCATCCCCAGTAGTAGCAACATCTCGCTGACCCATGCTGCCATCAGCGTTTCCACCTTTGTCTGAGGAGATAAGTCCTGCGCTACTTGATGCAATAGTGATGGCCTCCCTTGAGGCAGTTGCCAGGCAAAATAATGTCAATTCTCCTCCGGAGCCACCCCTAATACCCCTGTTTGCTTCTAGACCTATAACTAAAGTCCCAGCAGGCCTCTAGAGGTGAGGTTGAGAGTGTGACCCATGAGGAGGTGTGCTCCACTCGAACTGTTTAGAGTTCTTTATATAAACAGAAATCTGGAGAACAGGCATGGGAATGGATATTAAGGGTATGGGATAATGGTGGAAGGAACATAGAGGTGGATCAGGCTGAATTTATTGATTTGGACCCACTAAGTAGGGACTATGATTTTAATGTTGCAGCTTGGGGAGTTAAAGGTTCTAGTAGTTTATTTGCTTGGTTAGCTGAAATATGGATTAAAAGATGGCCCACTGTGAACAAGTTGGAAATGCCTGATGTCCCTTGGTTTAATGTAGAGGAAGGGATCCAAAGGCTTAGGGAGTGTGGCATAGTGGAGTGGATTAGCCACTTTAGATCTACTCATCCCAGCTGGGAGGGTCCAGAATATATACCCTTGACCAATGCCTTGCAAAATAGATTTGTGAGGGCAGCACCTGCATCT